GATCAAGAGGCTGACATGATACGCGAGTTCTGACTGGGAGAACGCACTTGAGCTTGGACCATTTTGCCATCTGTGTTATGCGTTAGGAATACAACAAGAAACGAAGGTGGTATTGCCTTCCCTAATGTTAATTTCTCTGTTGTTATTAGGAAACGTGTCTGTTCACCTTTTTAAAATAGGAGTTTCAAACTCAAATATCTCTAGAAGCTAAGGTGTTATACGTAAATCTTAAAGCTGGTGAGAAAAATATGAAATAGGAGGGTTAAGTGGAGTGTGGTCCCCTACCCTGTACCACCTACAGGTGGCAGCACTGGATTATGGTTTTCAGAAGCAGGAGATCTACACTTTTTTTTTAACAGAATTTTTGAGTTATAGTTGACACATAGTAAACTGCACATATTTAAAATGTACAATTTGATAAGTTTTGGCAGATGGATACAACTTCAAAACCATCACTACAATCAACATCGTGACCATATCGACCACCCCCGAGTTTCCGTAAGTTTGTACTAATCCTTTCTATCTGCCTTTCCCTGACCTTTCCTACCTCATCCCCAGGAAACCACGGGGCTTCTGCTTTGTCACTAAAAATTAGTTTGAATTATAAGTAAATGGAATCATATAATATATACTTTTTTTTAATCTGGCTTCTCCCACTCAATCTAATTATTTTAAGACTTACTCAGATCGCTGCACACCTTAACAATTTAGAACTGAGCAGTAATCCATGTACAGGTAACCACGCTTTGTTTATCCATACGTCTATGGATTGTGTTCCATTTTTGGCTACTACGAATAAAGCTGCTGTGAACATTCACATACCAGTCTTTTGTGCTTTCATTTTTCTTGATTAAACACCTAGTTGTGGCATGTCTGGGACATATCGTAGTTTTTAAGAAATCGCCAAACTGTTACCCAAAGTGGCTGTATTATTCTACTTATCTACCAACAGCGTGAGAATTCCAGTTGTTTCACATCCTCGCCAAAGCTCGATGCGATCGGTATTTTTAATTTTAACCATTCTCGTATAATGGTATCTCATTTTGTTTTTAATTATTTCTTGAGCCACAGAACATGCACAAGGGCAAAGATATTCATGTATTTGTTGGGGGGTGGGAAGTATAGCTTATTTATAGTTTTAAGACACAATTTAAAATAAAAGCAATCACTCATAATCCTGCCTTTTGGCAACTGTTCTTCCAAATTTAAAATATAAACACGTCTGTAGGAAAAGGAGAAAATTTCCGCAGGTGGAAATTAAAGAATAATCAACTTTCTTTATAATAAGGATTCAACCCTCTTTTTCCAAACCACAGAAGGTCTTATTGACATTAAATGATACCATATGCATCACATAAACTAGCCAGATGCTCTACTATACTTACAGAGTAGATAGCTGAGTATAACCCCAGGAATGTAACTTCCCAAGATCGTAAAAAATGTGCACACACTGCAGACCAGGAGACAAAACTAGAAATCACAGAAATAACATGTGACAGTTACGCATAACACCAACACATTTTAGAGCGTAGGATACACACACAATTTTTTATCTATATGCGATCTATCACATGATGGCAACTGTTTTTCAAACACTTCTTTTGCCCTTAGGTTTGACTAATGGCTGCTGTGTTCAACCAGCCTAAGTCCACTTTCACACTTGCTAATAATCATTTTGACGTTCCAGAAGCTAATTTCCGGCACAGTGCACATCTCCCGTTAATCATGTTTGTGGCTGTATAACTGCCAGATGCAAGAGAAATGAAGATTTGTATGCCCCCAGAAACTTCTACTTAGGATCACTCACTGAGAATAAAGCAGCTAAATCTGCAAGTTCAAACTACTTTGATAAGCCCACCGAAATTCATAAATACAGCAAAACATATAGAAAATAGAGGCATTTACATAAATGTAATGGCAATTTGCACAGCTGATAAGCTACTGAGATAAATCTGCTGGCCATTACTAACCTTCTCCCTAATCATACCCGTCTCCCAAATCGACCCCACGTCTAGGTCACCTAGAAACCAACTACGAATGAAATGAAATTCCTACAGTGAAATGTGATTATTTCCCTACTGTCAGTCATGACCAAAAAAAATTCTTGGTTGTTTTAAGAAATTTAAAACATCGAGATAGAAATATTCTCCCATAAAGTCTTTGTATATTTTCCACACTCTAATCTTAAACTACTTACTTCTTTTGCTTTATCTTTAAACTATGGTATTAAATTAAACTGCTAGGCAAAGAAAATAAGGAAATTTCAAAAAGACATGAATAAGAGATTTGTAACTGATTAATAACTGATTAAAAGAAAGCAAGGGGGGGCCTACAATTCAGATTAACTTTGATTTTTCATTCTTTGGCGCAGGGTTATAATAAATTAACTAGTCAAAGGAGAATTAATGATCTTGTGGAACTAAATTGAGAGCTATTTCTGAAACAGCAGGGGTCCCTCAAGAATATAGAATTCTAGTTATAAAATGGGAGAGAAGAGACCATAAAAGTTAAAAGAACAACTAAGTCCATGAAAGCGTTACTACTTTCAGAATTCAGTTTTGCAAAGGTATTCCAGATTATGCACTAAGTTTGTAGCAGTATCCTCTTAAGCTAATTGACTTGGGGCGCATATATGCAATCCAATACAGTTTTAAGTTCAGAATCTCCTAAAAATGTTTAATCGTTTCAAATTGGCATAAAAAATGCAGCCCCTTCCCACTATATCGATATCTATTCTAAAAATCACCTTCAGTGATTTTTAAAAATCCATCCATAAACAGTGTCGCCACTTTAATATGCTCAAAATGTGTCCAAGTATGTTTCTATTATTTAATACTAGTATTGAAGTTAAGAGCATGCCTGCACATGGTACAAGAGAGATTTTAAATGCTGACATTCCTAGGCTCTTCCTTCTACTTACAGGTAGGCCTTCAATAAACTCAAGCACGACTCTGGAAAGGAAAGAGTTTACTGATGCCTCTGCGCCTCACCCATGCTATCAAGTTCACAGCCAAAGCTGCCTCTACACATAAAAACATGCAGTGGGTGCGCTGCTCCAAGTAATCCCTTTCAGACCACGTACGACTCTTCTCATGGGTTTTCATCTGAATAGAATATACTCATGCCATGTATACAATCACTACAAATGCTTTTGCCATAGGTTTTGTTTCTTAAATAAATCATATAACAATCTCCACTTTTTAGATTAAAAGTGAGATTCGGTCATCTCCGAAATCACCCTTGAAGGGCTATGTGTTCATTTCACCTCCCTCTGACTTCAGAACTATAAACCGAAATTCTTAATAAGATGTTATTAAAAATTTCTCCTTGGTCTGGCTGATATGCCCAATCACCACTCATTTTAGTTAACAAGCTAGATAAATATGTATAAAAACAGAAAACCAGTCCGATTTCAAAATATGAGCTTGAGAATATTCCAGTGCTAACACATGAATATTTCTGAACCTTGCTGATACCAGCTTTTAGTTCGTAGTAGATTATATTCTGAGCTGGAGAACACTTACAAGCTGATAAAATGGATTGATTCATTCTTTTCTAAGTTGACCACATTTCAAGCACACACCGTAATTCTCCCGTACTGGAATACTTGCCTTGCCTGGGCTCTGCTGTTTGAAAACAGACATTTCTTGAAGAAATATGCTGAAATTCATCCATGACTCTGCAATACAGTGGCTGAGCCTGGGTCTTTCATCTGGTTTGGAATCGATAACCTCCCAGCTACAGAGAGAAAAAGAAAACAGACAAAAAAATGAACTGAACTATGGGTGATTCATTCAACATTCATTGCTTCAGCAAATATTTACTGAGCACCCACGGTTGGTCATGCTCTCAGGAACAGCCCTGTGAATTCAGAGGTATACAAGTCAGACATCTGCCTGACAAAACTCAAATGCCAGGAGAAGATACAGGCTAAACAATGAGCTACACGATTGTCCAGTCACAATGAGGGACAATCTGAGAGAGAGGGTAGAGGTTTTCGGACATTTTCTCTCAAGAAGTCACTTTAAGCTAAACTTCGGATTAGCAGGAGTTTACCATAAGGACTCAGAGACTTCCAGAAAGAACAATGTACAACATACACAGAGGCCCTGCAGTCAGAAGGCCCCGAAAGCACTATTTTTTGAGTCCTGGGTGTGGCTCTGGCAGAGTGAACCATAAGGATATCAAGGCAAGAAGCTGGAGAAGGAGCACGTGAACTAGGTCTTCCAGGGCCCTGGAGGGCTTGTCAGACACATTTCAAATCTTAAGGATACGGAAGCCACAGCAACTTTAAAAGAAGCCTTGGCATTAATGTTATCATCTTCATCATCATCAACACCAACGATACATTTTCAAAGATACTGTAACTGGTCAACTCTACAGAAAATTGTTTAACTCAACAGGATCTCACAATACCTCATATTTTTCTAGGGTATCCTTTTCCAATCATCATCATAGAACATGTCGAATGTGATGCACGTCCCAAGCATGTGCCATGTCCCTGCCCTAATCTTTCCAGAGGAACATCAGTGAGCTAAAAACTAGTAACAATCGCTCCAGAAAGAAGATGCAAGCAAGTACAGGGCATTCCCTAAAATTACAATGACATCAAGTTCAAATCCCACTCTTGCGACCCTAACTCATCACAAAAATATACCAGTTGAAACAAGCTCTGCTAAGGGACCTCAAATTTATTCGTTTAATAGATAATTATTAAATGAAGGCACTGCCATAGAGCTAAGGATATGGCCATAAAGTAAACATGTTTTGAGTAAAAGACAAGGGTTATTAGTGAGCTCTCATTTGAGCTATGGTTACAAGGGCATCAGGATGAGGCTGACATCTGGGTTCGACCCCTGGAGCATCTAAGACAAGTCAAAACTACATTGGCCCTTAATGTTCAACTATGCAGAAATTGTGTACATATAGATTCTGTTACTTTTTAGTGTTCTTTGAATACTAACACAATTTGTAAACTAATAAATAAAATTTCCTTAGTCGATATAAATTTTAATCCAAGTTAAAAGAATAAATAGCATTATAAGAAGAAATAAATAGCATTAAAAGAAGAATGAAAAGTATTTCGTTTTCCTCTTTTGTTCTATCAACCTCAACTAACAAATGCTCTGCCAGAGAGTCACTGAGCTAAGCTGTTCAGGCTGATGCTGTTTTCCTAGATAGATACTGTCATAAGAAATGAACTCTGGGGGATGTTCAGGTATCAGGGTGTGGTTTATGCATCCACTAACTCTACCTACCCCTCTTGGTGACCAAAAGTCGCACTAGGTCTGTGTACCTCATGAAAGATTCTAGACCTACTAAAAGAAATACTAACTGATGGCTAGGAAGGCACTGTATCTGTAACAAAATCTTGCCAATATGTCTACTTGATGGGAACGAGATTTTGCATAGGAGAGCAAAAGCTACAACAGCAAAGAAAATAATACGGTTCTTAAATACTTTAGAACAACAAAACTTGATGCAAATTAGCAAAGTTAGTAGGCTAGGCTACTGTTCAGGTTAATGGGACCATAAAGATGACAGAAAGACAGATTTTAATTTCTGTTCTCTATGCATATTGAGATGGAGTTAGGGATTTGGCAAACATAATTCCAACAGAAAACAATGAAAAATTTATAATGGAATGATTTGATCGTTCTTTTAACGATTAAAATAAAACGAATGGATGGTATTTCCTATTTAAAATATATCTTTTGATTAGGACAATGAACAAAAGAAGTGAGTTGCGTTCAAGCGATGAAGGATGAAACACTGGTGGAAATGAACTGTGACTCCATGAAACTCAGAATCATATTGAAAGGAAGAAGTCGCAGAATAATAGATGCAGTATGTTTTCGTTTACGTAAAGCTCAAAATCACACCAAGCTAACAGATTATTTAAGCAAGGAAATGATACAAAACACGATTCAGGAGGGGGTACCTCAGGCAGGGGTGGGGAAGGGTAGTAGGGAATGGGACTTGAGCGTGGCATGTGGGAGCTTCCTGGGTATTGATCGTGTCTATTTCTTAACTTAAGTGATGGACACATGAGAATTGACTTACTACTGTTCTTAAAGCTATGCCTACATATACCCATATACATATATGGTCTCTATTTAAAAATGTGTTGATACTTAAACGTATAATCATGCTTTTTATTTAACGAATAACATTCTCACATGAGTATATCTCATTTCATATCCTGTAGTCAAAATATAAATGTTACTTAAGTTTTTGCCTCAGTTTATTTACTGTGGAGTAAAAATATTTCTGCTGACAAGTGCCATGAAAAATAATTTGAATAAGTGGTATTTTGGATAGATGCTGGTACCTTCTTCTGATACTAACTTTAAGATACATGTTTCAGATGTGACACCACATTTGTATACATATTTTATTACTCTAATAAATAAATGTACTAAAATTGGAAAGGAGCCTAGTCTAATACTAAATCCCTATAATTACATAAATTATCTGCATAGAGATAATGTTAGAGCAAAGTCTTCATACAATTAAGGTGCTTAATAAAATGAAATAACTAAAAATTCTGTTTTGCCTTTAAGAATCTTACCTATTCTCATAGTAGACTTCAAAATGAATATGAAGAAACCTCAGTATCCATTCATCCATTATCTTATTCAGTTTTTTAGTAAAAAGTTATCAAGTTCCACCATTGTGTCTTACTTATACTTGGTGTGTTTAGTATTGTTATTTCAAATCAATAAAAATAACACCTGTAGCACTGTGTCTACAGATATTACCACTTGGCGGGAAGAAGAAATGAGAATATTCAATGTGTGAATCTTTTCCACAGCTATAAAAAAACATGCTCATTTATATTAAATTTCTCCCCTTCAGAAAAAGCCTGTGACAGTATTTTGGGACAATAAATTCCATTGTTACTTACATTTATATTAACCTTAGAACCTTAAATAATTCTAATTGATATCTGAATTACTGTTATCATCGGCAACAGAAATGAGAAATTCATTGTGTTCAAGTTGGAAATATTTTCTAACCAAATGGGCTTGGAAAGAGTAGTAAATGTTTGAGATAAAAATAAATGTACAGATGGTGCTGACTAAAATTTATTGGAAATATGTATGATTTAAAAAGAAAATCTGAAGTAATGGGCAAAGAAGAGATGTCACTCTACACTTCTTTAAATAAAACACAGATCCAGAAGAGTCAGTCTCTGGAAGTTTCATATAGTTTTAAATTGTCCAGTGATTGATTCTGAGTATCCCTTGGATGTATATTTCTATACTCTTCCATTATATATGGTCTACCATTAACTTACATCACCACAACTCGATGATGTCACAATATAACATAAAGCAATAGTTATATAATGTAGAATGAGATGGAACACTTGATGTCAACTTTTCAAATTACCTTATTATTACAGATGAAGAAAGTAAAACCCAAGTGTCCTCCATGAGTTTGGGGCAGAGCCACCCGCAGCCCAGACCCCAAATTTCTAGTGCGATGCTATTTCCTGTGAACACGTGCCCTATTCAAAGGATGGATGAACTCAATGGGGTTCCTTTGGAGAAACCCCACACTGAAATTTAGAATGAGAAAGGACATTCGCTGTTCCTCCTCACTCCTTTCTAGAGTCAGAGGGCATGAGATGTGATAGACCCACACCCACGTAGCCTCATTTAGGACCCAGCTTCTCCCGGCAAAAAAGAGTACTTTGTGTGCAGAATCCAAATACTCAGAGGAAACTAAGAGTCATGCTTGGTGGTTGAGATATTTAATACAGGTGACATTTGCACGCGTGCATGCACACACACGCACACGTGCACTGAATTGCTCCATAATAAAGCTCTGGGTTTTCCTAGACACCCTTATCTGGAAAGCACAGAACCGGAGAAAAGCTCTCCTGTGAATACTGGATGATGCTTGGGAAAGAGATCATTTACATGGTGTGTGGCCATCTTCCCACCCTCCTTGGCTCTGATCAATGTGCACTGGAAGGCCTAACTCACATAAAAGGAGGCTTAAAAACAGTGCGACGCTTTACCAAGTTCTTGACCAAAGAGTATAACTCTTCTACGATAGCAGCTCATCTAGTGGAGAAAACTAGACACCAGTGGCTTCGGTATTAATATCCCAGGGTTGATTTTTTTCCTCCTTAGTTGCAGAGAGAACAAGCATTTGCCAAGTTCAAAGGGAAGTCAGGTTCTTTGGTTCATCCATCCATCCTTCTCTCTTTCTGTCCTTCTTTCCTCCTTCACCTGCTTGCTTCTTTCCTTCAGCTTTCTCTTTCACTTATGCCTTCACTCAGGAGTGAGCCTGTTACACACTCCACCGCTTGAGAGTCCCTCTCTCGTAACCATCACCCCCAGCCTCCCACACTCCTGTTGAGTCCAGCTGAAGTGGTTCCAAGTGAGAAGCCACAGCTCCTGGCCCCCTCACGACCATACCATTTTTCAAATGGTCTCTGTCCAAAGATCTGCAGCTGTGCAGTGCTTTTGAAAAAAAAAAAAGGCCCAGAAAACTACAGCCCTGGCAGATTTGTTTACTTACGTTCTCCTCCCTAAGAAAAACTAATAGACAGATTGTCAACAAAAGACATTCTGTGTGGTCAAGATAAGCATTTATTTACCAAAGATCAAATTTATGGTTTCACTTGCCTGAGAAACTCTAAGGGAATAAACATTAGAAAGATGGCTCCTCGGATAAGCAGCCTCACTTAATCACAGAAGGAACTAGGTTCCGGGGAGAATGTG